GGGGGCACCCCAGTCGGGCCAGACGGGGTTGAAGGCATGAGAGGGCTTTGGAGTCCCCTTTGCTGCCACTGTATGTCCCCACAGCACCTTGTGCCAGGACCACCGCGGCGGAGAGGTGCTAAAGCCCGTCGGATGTAACAAGCCCTTTGCATCTCTCCCTCTCCCCCAGGATGGTGTCGCCATGAAGACGCTTTCCGAGCAGGGAGTCAGGATCAGCAACAAGAAGCCCCGCAAGGCAAGCAGCACTGACAACATGCTGTACGGCCGCTTCGTCAAGGTAACCGGCCGCCGGGACGCGGCTCAGGGAGCAGCTGGTGTCTCTGAAGTCTCCTGTGAACTCTACACCCTTTCTTGTCCCCCTTTCTCACGGCCCCGCTGCAGTCAGCCACGCTCACAGCATGTGGGGAGGAGCCCACGAAGCTGCCCGCCGGCTCGGAGAGCAGCGAGGAGGAGGAGGAGAAGCTGGACCTCTCCTCAGCCAGGAGGTGAGGCTGGGGCTGTGACGGGGAGCCCTGGTCCAGACCAGCACCAGTCTGAACATCACCCTGATGCTGGGGGCGACACTGTGTCCTGCAGGTTGACGGACGAGGAGCTGATGCGAGCATGTGGGGGCCGCACGGCACACAAGTAAGTGGTTAGTGGGGGCTGCACGGTTGGCCCCCCCTTCCTGGCAGGGGCGTTCGAGCAGGTACATTCCCTGCCAGGGAGGCGCCAGACCCGCCTGCCCACGATCGTTGCAGGGGTGCCCGTCACGGCCTGACCATGAGTGCCAAGCTGGCACGGCTGGAGGAGCAGGAGCGAGCCTTCCTGGCCACGTACCGACGCAAGGAGTGGCAGCGTGAGCCCCCGGAGAGCAGCCCCCCAGCAGAGAGAAGGGAAAAAAAGAAGAAAAAAAGGAAACAGTCCAAGGATGGAGCTGATCCTGACATGCTGCAGAGCCAGGAGCCGTGCGGAGAAGAGGAGGTGGTGGGAGAGGAAGGGAAGGTCGTGAAGAGGAGGAAGAAGAAGAAAAAAAAGAACCAGGAGCCAAGTGGAGAAGAGGATGGGGCAGGAGAGGAGGAAGGGAAGGCTGCAAAAAGGAAGAAGAAGAAGCAGGAGGAGGAAGACAAAGAAAAGCCAGTTGAGACAGAGAAGAAGAAAAAGAAGAAGGAAGAGGACAGGGAAGAGCTGGCTGAGACGGATGTACCTCTGGAAGACACAGATGGGCCAGGCCAGGCCAGGCACAGGCCCAGGAAGAAGAGGGAGCCAGAGTGAGCAGGGGCTGAGGCTGAGCAGGCTGAGCAGCTGCCGGTACCATCTGGCTGTGAGGGTCCCGGTCCCGCGTGCTGGCACCGGTGGGTGCCCACGGGTGCACCGGGCTCTTCCCAGCTGGAGCCCAGCGCTGTGGCCCAGCTCACTGCCTGGGGATGCGGGGCTGGATCGAGCTTTCTTTTGCTCCCTGAGCCTTCCTCCCGTCAGGGGTGACGCCACTTCCCACCAGGCCCTGGGGCAGGGACCCATTTGCCGTGGGTCTCTTGCAGAGGGACACGAGGGGACAGACCCCACAGCACACTGAAATATTTTTCCCAGGGCATGAATAAATCTTTATTGCAGTGAAACTCTCCTGAAGCGTGGCACACCCAGGGATCCTGGATTGCCTCTACACCTAGAAACACTCGGATTAGGTAGCAGCCCCCCAGGCTCCCGGGGGAACGCACATCCCGCTGGCAGAGCTGGGTAGGGCTGGAGCCCAGTGGGGCGCTGAGCATCCTCTGAGCGGGGCTGCGGCTCCGGCAGAATGAGGCCCTGATCTGCTGTGCCCAGCCCTAGGTCAGCTGCAGGACACAGTCTGTCTCGGGGTATGAGGGCAGGTTTAAAGCGTATTTTTCCTGGAGCGCGGGGGGCACAAACCTGCCCCCAAGGAAGTGGTAGCGGCCAGCGAAATGCATTGCCGCCTTCTTGGGCGCCGTGAGGGAGATGAGCATGTCGGGCTGGAGACCGTCCGCCTTCCCCTTCTCCACGTCCCAGCCTGCAACAAGCCCCGAGGCCAGGCTGGAGCCAGGAAGGCCCTGGCCAGGCACCTTCCCGCCGCGTGTCCGGCCCTTACTCACCCGAGGGAATGTCGACGCTGGCGATGGGCACCGTGATGCGCTCCAGGGTGCTGAGGATGCTGCCGAAGGGCTCCCGCACCGC